CTTCAAGTAGGTATTTCAAACACATTTTAACAGGAAACAATTGTGCTCAAAATTCGAATTTGCGAGACAAAACAGAGGTATCATTTATCGAAGGAAAATTTGCTAAAAAAAGAATGACACCTTGTGTTTTTCTGTTCATAAAGGTGTAGAACCATACATAAAATGGTGCGGAAATGGTAAAATAACACTTGAGCTTGTTTTTGAAAACTCCATACAATAAAACTAATCGTTCAATAAATGAAAGTTTTATCTATCACCATCTCATGGATCATTTCAACCGTCTCTCTCGATATCTTGTTACATTTGAAATAGTTTCCTTGAAGAACAGTCTTTTAAAAAGTGGAACAAAGAGTGAGACACCAACTTTGACTCGAATGACGTTGTTCATATTTTTTTGTACCTTTTCCATTTTCCCATAAATATATAGCTTTATACATTTTGTTTCACTCGCTTATTTTTGCACAGAGTTTTCTCGTCTTCTAAAAGTCAAAACGCTTCATCTCCTTGTAAAAGTCAACTCATATTCCCAAGTTTAATCTCTTCCATAGTCTTGAGCCTATAATCCAACACTATCGTTTCTCTATAGCCCTTTTTTCCTATCCATTTCATATTCGAGCGACAAAATTGAGCTTTGTAAATACAACATACGCTGCAGCAGGCTTGTATATTCTTCTCCCAACGAAGCAAACACAGACGTTCTTTTCTAGTTTTTCTTTTGAACTTTTCAAAAAGTTTCCTATAGACCTATGGTGGTGAGATCTCTTTCACCGGTGATGTCTTTCAGCAATCCAACGTCTATTGTTGTGGATATTACGTTAAACCAGATAGTAGTAAACAATGAATAAACCCAGAATATGAAGCAAATTTTTCCATTTATTGTTTGACAGAAATTCTCGGAGATAGTTTTCAAGAATTTCAATGTTACTCTCGCTTGTGTTTTCAAGTCTATGATGTCAGTAACTGTAAATCGATTGGAAGAAATGTTGAACAATTCCTTGAAATTTTTCTGGGTATCACATGTGATGTATCTACTTTATCTTCTTCGATTGACTCCAACATACATATTCGTTTAAAGTGTATTCCTCTTCATAAAACTCAAACAGCATTGCTACGGCATGAACAGGATCTTTTTTTTTAACCATTCCTTGACTTTTAAAAGGCAAAGTAGTACCTAATAGAACCTACATTCCAAGACTTGTGCTTTCAAACAAAAATCCAACACAGTCGCTCCAAAACTAGTCAATAGGTTCTTGGACAGATTGTTCAAAGCACGTCGAGACGCATTTATAAAAGTGTGTAGAGTCAAATGGTCGAAATAAATAAATGTGACGATACAGAATAAACAGATGGGCTTGGAGAAAGAGTCGTTGAGGAGGAGTCTTGTCATTTGAAAGAGTCGGTTTCTTGGTGTTCCATCAATGTTTCTTGTACAATGTCCAACCTGGCTTGCGTCTCTTCTTGAAAAGCTGGGACAATAGCTAAAACATTAGGTTGGGTATTATACAATGAATAAGTCTCCTTGATTACTGCTAGACCTTTGAGGATAATCTCTCCATTGTTATCGGTAATAAGTGTACAAGTTGTTTTTGGCTTTACGCGGCATCTTTTTGCAACGTCTTGAATGTTGGTCTCTGTGTTTTCAAGAAACTGAGTGAATCACAAAATTTCTTTACAAAACAGCTTGAGGTGTTTATCCATTTCTGTGGAGTGTTGATATTACCTTGAGAACCAGAAAAGGAAACCAAAAAAGGATTTCATCTATTCTTTAAAAAGAAGGGACAGAAAGATTGATTGGTTTTACAATGAAACAGTCAGTCCCAAAAAAGGGTTAAAAAAGCTGCAAGACTATGTTCAACCAGCTGTATTGCTTTGAACATACTCGACACAACCAATTGGTAACGAGTCTCTGATATGGATGACAACACTCTTTCAAACTATGGGAGAGAATGGGTAAGCAATGTCTTCAAGGTTTTGGGTAAACATGGGAAAATACTGTCGTTTAACTTGATGATGGGTAAGAATCAACAAGGTAGGGAATTCTACATTAATAGCAATCTTATGAGAAACCAATGCCAAGTTTTGTTGTCTCATCCAAAAAGCGACCAACAAAGATTGACAAATTTGCAGAGAGTTGGTATTTAAAGACGTTATTGAAGCTTCTATTGTATTTGATCGTAAAGGCTTTTTCATGACATAGTTGCAAAGAAGAAAGGGCTTCATAAAGCGAATTGACTCTTTTTCGTTGCAAGTGATTTCTTGGATCTGGTACTTGAGAATAGTCAACCAACATCATGAATTGATATTTGAGTTTGTAAAAGGAGATATCAAGGAGTTTACGAATATGTAAAGGTGATTTCGTGGAGACTTGTTAATCAAGTCTCACAAATGTCGGGGTACAATACGCTTATTGTATGGATGATTTGGGGGAATAGTAGGGGAATATTGTCCCGATGTAGGGGCAGTGTTTGGGGAGTGAAACATACTTTTGTAGGTATCACTTGAAGACAATCTAGTAAAACCAAACCTATCTCCAAGGCTGTAGTTGCTGCACTTTTTTGTACAGACTTTAACAAGCCCTTGTCGTTGACGACTAGAACACAGTTCTTGGCTATGGATAAGACTGTACTCCAATCCTTCAAGTATGGTTATGCTTCAATAGGTAAGCAAAAAGCTTTTCAAGGGTTCTTTTCTTGTGTTTCGTGGGTGTGTTTGTCTCAAGGTTTCTTAAAGACTTGTTCGAAAAGGAAAAATTTTCTTCTACTTGTAGCTTTGTTCAATGTCTTGGTAAACCAAACGATGATATCATTCAACTGGCTACTCAACTCAACCACTTGTGTTTTTCCAAACTCGTTACTCTCAAGGGTACTTGTCCATTTTTAAAGAGTCATTTCAAACAATATTGAGGTTGAACTTAAACATGTTACAGACTGTGATTTTGCTGAATTGAAGCGTATTTTTTTGTTATGGTTATTCAAAACAAGTACTTTTGAAAAGAGTAAAAAAAATAACCATTTTTTGTCATTCTTCTTTTGCATAGAATGTGTCTTTAAAGCATTGGCTCTTAATGTTTTGTTGTCAGTGTGGAAATCAAAGTTACCCTTCTTGGAATGATCTTTTACTGTTTTAAATGGCTTTATTGATTTTTACATACTTTCAGATGATGAGAGTGTGTACTGAGT